GATTAAATTTGCCGCCTTAGATCTACGTTTACTTAGGAAGCTCTCTGATTAATTGAGTGACTTATCAAAAAGTCCCACGCTGCATAAATACTCAATCCAATCCATTACTTCAATTACTGGCAAAAGGCCTGATATGTGTTTTACCTGATAAGCTTCTTCGAGAGCGTCCATCTTGGAATAGTGTTCTTGAGAGAGCGCTTTATGTTTTTCCATCAGTTCCTAGAAATTCAAGAATATGGGTGAAGGCTGAGGATGGCCTTCTACTAAAGTGGCGGTATAGGATCACAAAAACGGTTTTCAAATTGGGTCATAACCAGTCATGCACAGATGTAATTCAGCCATTTTGCATTCCAGCCGCATCCCCGCAAAAAAATTCTGCATAAGATATACATATATATATTCATATATTTTTTTATCGTAACTGATTAGCCTGTATAGAGTAATTAGTGTAGCCAGTCTTGACTCACAGCTTGCTCACGTTCTTTTTGTTTTAACACTTCATCTAGGCGTTGTTCAAGGAGGAGCTTCCCATTGTTCAATCTCTGCAGTTCAACTTCTTTGGAAGACAAGGACTGAATAAGTTTCTGAAAGTAAAAAAAACAAGTAAATAAATAGATAAAATTTCAAGCGAACTGATGAGGTTAGAATTAAACCACTTGACGATAGCTTTACTTACCTGAGTGCCTACAAAATGATCTAGAGTGGCAATGGTCTTCAAATAATTAACAGATATTGTACGAGGTTTTACAAAATATAGTGATTTGTCAACAATCAGGAGGTCAATTTCTTGCTCAGTTCAAGGGCTGAGTATCAATTTTCTAATGTTTTGCATCGGTACAGCTTGGAAATTGAGGTCTGGATACTTCTGCTAAACCACATTAAACAAAAACTGTAGCATATACTAAGCACACGTGTACCTCTAATTCCAAATCTTTTGCACTCAAAGAGCTTTGTAAAGCAGCTATCATGGCGTCTCTTGCCTTAAGAATTTCAGAATGTTCCTCAAAAGCCTGAAATAATTCAGACAGATTTTGAAACGTAATCAAGTACACAAAGCATCAGAAATCAAACTAAATATACAAAAAGGAATATGAATGTTGTTCAAAGTTACGAGAGAAATTAGGCAAACGTTTGGCTTTTAAAGGGTCCTTTATGTACAATACGTGGCACCTCTACAAACCATTCTTTTCGTACTCATCAGTTAAACTGCTGCCTTGCTTAAATGGAAGGTGGGTGCCTGGGGTATCCAGAAGTTGTGTCTAGCCAAAAGAGAATATCACCCCTTCCATACCAAGGTCATGGCAGTTGACTTTCAATTGTTTACCTAAATTAAAGTAAGTATAATAACAGTTTTTAGAAGTAAATCTACTGACCTGATACCACTTTCTCTTGGCTGTATGTGCTGCCTCTCGTGTTGCTGTCAAACTCTGATTTAAGTCTTGAACTTTGGTCTGCAACTGCTGAAGCTAGATTTTTGACGAAACTTCAATAGTAGTCAACGAGGAAAAGACGACCTCATAGCACCCTCACTACACGTTTTCAGCCAATCAGAAGTGCGTAATTTTCTCATGTATATTATTAAGAGCGGTACAGTGTCTTTGGATGTACCAATAATTATGTGTGAGGAACTTCTCAACAACGCATCCGGAACTACTCCACCAAGTAACATTAAATTTAGAGGGGTGGGGTAACATTGACAGTTGATGAGTGTGTGATTATTCGAGTTGACTTGTTCTACGCAATCATGGGAACGGTTGCTAGGGAAATCATGAAAAGTGAGTGATTTTGTGAAATATAATAAAAGATAAGCTTAAGGAATAGATGGCAGAGTTTGTTTCCTCGAAAATAACCTTACCATTGTTCTTGCTTTATATACAAAAATAATTCAGTGGATTTGATGATGCGTTCAATTTAGTACCCCTAATCGCAAGAAGTTTATTAGTCAATTGGGGAGTAAAAGAGCTCTGAAAACAGCTCCTGATCATAAGTTTGTTGGTCGATTAGGATGTTGATCAGCTCTGATAAGAGCTCCCGATTGCAGGATGTTTGTCGGTCGATCAATGAGTTAATAAGCTCCAATAAGAGCTCCCGATCACGAGAAGTTTGTTGATCGATCGGGGAGTCAATGAGCTCTGATAAGAGCTCCCAATCACGAGAAGTTTGCTGATCGATCGGAGAGTCACTGAGCTCTGATAAGAGTTCCCGATCACGAGAAGTATGTTGGCTGATCGGGAAGTCAATGAGCTCAAATAAGAGCTCCTGATCACGAGAAGTTTGTTGATCGATCGGGGAATCAATGAGGTCTGATAAGAGCTCCCGGTCATTAGAAGTTTGTTGGCTGATTGGGGAGTCAATGAGCTCTGATAAGAGTTCCAGATCACTAGAAGTTTGTTGGTCGATCGGGGAATCAATGAGGTCTAATAGGAGCTCCCGATCACGAGAAATTTGTTGATCGATCGGGGAGTTAGTGAGCTCTAATAAGAGCTCTCGATCACGAGAAGTTTGTTGATCGATTGGGGAGTCAATGAGCTCTGATAAGAGCTCCCAATCACTAGAAGTTTGTTAATTGAATACGTTTGTTTTTTCTACTTTTCCCTACCTCGCTGTCCCTGGGGCCATCCCTCTGACTCTATATCATACAAAATTGAAGCTGAATAAGCAACACACTACGATTCCCTGTACATGGTATAAACAATTAGCTAATGATGATTTCACTGGAGACGAACAAACAAAAATTCACAAAATCATCTTCTAGTAAATACATTTCAAATGTTTTAAAAGATTTCAAGTCGTTCTGTATCTTCTCAGAACTTCACTGTAAAATATAATTTTATCATGTGGTGTGATTGTCTAAAAGAGAGTAGTTCTACAAAGGACTGTTGTGGGTCGTAATGACTAACATTTAAACAACCTGCACAGTAAACCATTTTCATTTCTTCCTTATGCTGCTCATTGTTTGGCGTGGTCAAGACTGGGGAAACATTGTGGCCTTTGGCTACTCACTCGTCTTGTAACTCCAGTCTATAAATCATTGAGTACCCGCGACCATATCTTGGAAGAAGTGGGTAAGTTTCTAAAGAAACTGTGGTGCTGCGACCGTGGGAGAGTATAACAGTGTAATTTAGTGTTATCAACTGAGTTGATAACGTAAATTGGCCTCCGTAAAAGTTTAAAGGCTGACGTTTCGAGCGTTAGCCCTTCGTCAGATCGATAGACGAAAGGCTAACGCTCTTTAAACTCTTCGTTGGTCAATTTTCATTTGATAACACTAAATTACCCTGTCATATATAGGAAGGCTGACAGAAGACACTTTCTCCTAAAACACAGAAACCCCTCCGACCAGAAGTAAACTGAAACACCACATGTAAAGTATTTTATCAAAACCGACTTTTAATTATAAACTTGATTAAAAACGAAAAAGAAAAAAAATAATCTGACTCTAAAGAACGACGCAAACGATGTAAACACAACACGAGCAAATTTGAAGTGACCAAGTGAAAAAATATTTCCAACGACGAAATATTCGATTGTTTTTCCTCTCGTATTCACGTGAATGTCGGTATTTTTCCGCTGTTCAGTAGTCCTTTCGTCCATATTTATTTGTTTCCCTTATTGAAGTTCAATGTTTTACCGGATACCCAAGTTACCTTGCGAGATTGTCTCTTACACTTTGTCCTTTTTTAACGACAACCTTTCTGCAAACAGCTATAAAAGGTTGCTAATGCATAGAGAACTTCAGAAATCCCACATATTCTAAAACTGGACATGCAAATCATAACAAAGAGCCGAAAGACGGCGACTAAGAGACCATTCTCGACACAAGAGCCGTGCAAATTCATGCTATCTCTGAGGCTGAACCACCCTTCTTGGAATTCAACCTGACACCTAAGCCAATGATAAATAAAAGCCGACACAGGGCCAACACTAAATTAATTGATACCTAATACCCAGGCCCACAACACGCTGTATGTCAATTAACTGATGTTTCACACACAAGTGACCGTTTAAGCTAAAGACGGCAAACAGCATAATGCTTGACACACAAACTCAAGCCGACACTTTTGGCTTTTGATTATTTTAAATCGTCGCTTGGCTCACAAGCCCAATACGGCGTCTGTCAAACAACTGACGCTTAACACATAAATAAAACCTAGATTAAGCCGACACACGGCACATGAAAATTTATGCTTGACAACCGAACGAACAGGACACAGGGCGTCCACCAGAAAAGTGACGCTTCACACACAAGCGAAAGTGAGACAAAGCCGACACACGGCGAGTAACGCACAAGCGTATTCTGATTCGAGCTCGACAAGAGCGAACAACAAATCAGAATAAAGCTCAACTTCAACGAGCGAGCGCCGATAGTGCAACCAAAGAACAAACCTAGACTAACCAAAAATCTGAAAGTACACTATGAAACACCGGGGGCCGAGAAATAGTGAACATAAACCGAAAGAAAGATAAAACATATGAACCTTTGAAATTACTCGCCTAACAGTTCCTCTTGGCATACTTCCACTCCCTCCGCGAGTTGTAGCGCTACGGCTGGTCGACCTAAGTCAACAACAGGAAATGGCAGTGGACAAGGCTTCTAGCTCAGCAGCAGCCGGTTCTTGAGGCTCAGCCATTATGTCAACCAAATCTCGTTTGGTTACAGGAAGCAAAACTTCAAACACGAAACACGCAGGCTACAGCGATGTGAAGCGAAAAATGACCGAAAATTTCTTACAACATACCGTTAGGATATCATTTTCGAAATTCCCAAAATCTAAGCAGCGGTATCACTAATTCCTGCGATATTGCAGGTGGAAACTTAGCATAATATTACAGACTCCACCCCCGCCGGAATTCTGCGGCATATTTATGCGGAAAGGAAACAATTAACCATTATTCACCGAAATGAATATTCACCTCTTTCACCGACAATGAGGTGAATAACTGTTTCAGTAGGTAACCTACAGAAACCAAAAAATCAGCTTATTTCTGTCAATTCACCGAAAATAATCGGAAATTAAACTCCCGACGCGCGAATTCGTCTCATCGGCTGCTCGAAGGTGAATAATACTTGTTAGTCACTTCCGAACTAACCAATCAGCGCGCGCGAATAGTTCTATTCACCTGTGTGGTATATACCAATAGTTATTTTCCAAGGAGGAGCTATCTGTAAGTCAATTGTAACAAAAATGATTTGTGAAAACTGATCTGGCAGCTTTGCCATGATGTTATTGGCTGAAAGACTCTAAGGATGACTTTTGCTTGGTTGTTTAAACGTCGATCATTACCGCCGACAACAGTCTTGTTCAGGACTACTCTCACCAAATTAATTGTTACTCCTTATTTCAAGCCATTAATCGTTTAACCCCTAAGAGTGACTAGCATCTAATTTCTCTTTACCATATCACCCCTGAATCTATTATTAAGGCCAGGAGAATAAAGGAACTGATCACCAACTAAAGAAGCTCTTGATTGTTAGACAAATTCTCCTTGTCAGCACCCTAGGAAAAGTTTAAAGAACAATATGAAGAATATGCATTTACTCTAACATTAGTATTCACGTTCTCCCTATTGTTCTCTTTTTGTTTTCAACAGTACTGACTTGGATAATTGTTTGACAATAAGGAGCTTCTTAGATTGAAGATCAATAATTTCTTGATTTGATTCAAGGGAAATATTGTAGGGAGAAATTGCAGTCCATGAATAATTCTGAACAGAAAAATGTGTTATTCTCACCAGAGATAGTGAATTATCGGTGGAGTTCCTTGAATTAAGATGCTGTTCCCTTTCCTTATCATGAAGCTGATTTCTCAACTCCTGACCAACAGTAAAACAAAATTACACATTTGTCCGCAAGTTTTCATTTACAAGCACATCACTGGGCGAACACGTTAGAGCTGTGGGAGCTAACTGATGTCCCTATCTCCAACTGCAACCTTGCTAACAAGGGCCATAAAATACATTAAAGTTCAAACGACAACCAGGTGGACAATCAGACATGGTTTGATGCTACTCTGGTTTACAGATTTAA